TATACATGTATGTATCTGATCTTGTGCATATGCACAAACACACACATATATATATACAAACATGCATATATGCTACACTTGCTTACGCACCCCTCATCCTCCGCGAAGGCGTCCATGCGAATCGGGCTACTAATCTTTTTATACAACAGCTTATCCGGGGTGCTGCATATAACCGCCGCAATGATCGCCCCAGCCGACGAGCCGGTAATAACACGTGGCAGCAGCTTGTGCTTTAAGAGGGCCAAAACCACACCCGTGTGGTAGCAGCCCATTGTCGCACCGCCACTCATGCACAGCGCCGTTCTCCCGAAGGCTTGTCGTGTCTCACGGATGAAGTCCATGCGCGCCTCTAACGGGGCCCCTTCAATGTCCATGTCTTGTAGCTGAATGTGCATGTGTGTATGTATGTATGTATGTATGTATATTGAGTGTGTGGCATGCATGCATGTATGTACTAGCAAACACAGAATGTAATTGAGAGGTATGCCAGCACACACAGTACGCAGCGGGCTTCTCTACTACACCAACTGGCTGCCACTCCAGCCCGTTCACTTATAGAGTCACATTTGTACGGTATCACACCAATGACAAACATGCGCATGAGCTAGAGTCAGCGGATACAGACCGGAGGTGAAGATCTGAGAGCACTGCTAGTAAGCGACAGTGTATATTTTTAGACCACCTAGTTATCGACACTCTACCGTGCGGCCACCTAGCCCGCCACAACCTATCCGACAACTGCTCAGTTTGCGACATACTATTTAACGACAACACTATCCATTTGCGACATACTATATAACGACATCCCCATACATTTCCGACACATTAATTAACGACAAACAACAGGCTAGTCCCGTACCACTGCCCACACACCTGCGTCAGCTGCAGCACGACCTCGTCGTTGTACTTCTCAATAAGCCGTTTGGTGCCCACATTGCAGTGCGAGAACAGTTTGGGGTTCAGCATGTTGCCCAGATTGCGGAACAACCCGGACCGCAGTAGGTACATCATCTCACGCACATCATACGCACGCTTGGCTCGGGCGATACGGAGGTCTTCCAGGCGCTTCTCAATCAACTGGTTATCATACAGATCACTCTCAAACTCCATTTTCCAGGCCTGCTTGCCCTCGAGTATATCTAGGTCCATGGCACGCTTGTACCTGCCTTGCCGTACGGGTGAAGGGCGGCGGTTAGCGGAGCGGATGGGTTCGTACTGTGAGTGTGCAGAGTAACGGATACGCCTCTGTAGAGATGCATCTTGGCTTGCTTGAATTACGGATTTGTTTCTCTCAGTGTAGGTACGGTTTGAGGCGGTTATTAGCTATGTAGAATATCACACAAGTGCGAAACGACGCTTAGTCTGATCTTAGTACCCAACTGCAAGTGTAAAAAAAAAGGGATCTCTATTGTGACAGCACATGCACACATCCATGTAGGATAAAACTCAAAGCAACCCCCGCAAATCTGCACACCTACACGAGTGTAGATGAATAAGTGCAGCCTGTGTCCCAATGAATCGCTAAGGTTTAGGGTTTAGGGTTTATGAAGTTAATACTTCCGCACTTCAAGGTAATGAAGTAAGTAACATACACGAACACGCCCACTTGTGGGTCCAGCCATCACGCTGTGTGTGTTCAAGTGATGCCAAGTGCATGTCACTGAAAGGGATGATATACCTACACTCATCTACCAGACGTGCACATGCGAACCAAATACAGCTTATGACAACTCTCACAACACAACACAATACACAACACCACACCACGACACACGTTGGACTGCTACAGTATCGTTCAAAATACACGACATAGTGCAGGCAGCGAACATCTACCATAGCCATCTGATAGTAAGCAAACCCACGTGCGCCTACCATTCCGCGTACGAGGTTGCTGCGTTCATGTGCTGTCTCAGCAGCTGCACTTTAACTTGCGCTGGCACAAGCGCAGACACCACCCGTCGCATCCAGTACCCATTCACATCCCATGCCACCTCTAAGGTAGGGCCTACCACGTTCTCGCATAGGTATCCCAGAGCCGACTTCTTCGAGTCGTCCGGAAAGGCAATCACCCCACTCCCGGGTGCCTTCCGCAGAGACATGAAGTCCGAATCGGAATCTGGATAGTTTGCACATATGTACGGAAACGTATATATCTTATATATATATATATATATATATATATGTATATCTATCTATATCTCTATATATATATATCTTTATAGATATATCACTATATATATATATCATTTTATATATCTATATATATATGTATTTATATATATATAAATATATACATAATACATAAGAGAATTGCTAGTGTTTTCTGACATACAGTCCGACCGATTATTTTTTATGTACTGCGTTAGTATGTTATGCTGGTGCCTTGTCTGGATGGCCCTCCCCAGCACAAACTAATCTACGGCTGCTAGTTGGTTCTCGCCCGCAGCTATCGTCTAGCTCAAACGAGAATAGCTTATCTTCACGAACTATGCACCGACCAACGTGAGATACATATACACGTCTGCACAAATCTCAAAGGACTTTGCCTATATGAATATGCACCGTATGACGTGCACACATAAATAACTTGTATCCTATCTTACGCATGCAAACAAACAGCTACTTCATTTACGACCAGATATCATACCTACATATTATACCTACACATTATACCTACATATCATAACTACACATTATACCTACATATTATATCTACGCAATATACCTACACATTATACCTACATACCATAACTACACATTATACCTACATATTATACCTGACATTGTATTCACACGCTGTGAACTTGGAGGCGGTACAGCCGCCTGACGAGAAGATGTCCTAGCGCCTCCGAGAATGGCCCTCTTGGGACCACGCATACGCAGTCCGTCGCTGGAGTGTTCGCTGGCGGTAGATGAGCTTGTCGCCATCTCGTCAACCAACTGTGGGTGTGGTCCGTAGTTAGACGGGGGTGAGCGATGGTAAGTAAACAAGGGATGTGACGGGCACAGGCAACACACGCACGGAGGAGATGGAGATGGAGATTGAGATTGAGATTGAGATTGGGATAGGGTTGAGTTGGACGGAGAAAATGAAGGGTTGGCTGAGATTGAGAATACGAAACAGCTGGATGGAAAGCGAGTACGTGCATTGGCACAATGTCGAGATGTTGATTTGGTTACAACAGAATTGGATCGCTTATGATCAAAACTTGATAGTGTACACAGAAAAAATTCCCGGGCAACCGCATGAATGCTCTGTACTAAACCACCGCAGCTCAACTTAGACCATGTTGACTAAACAGGTAGGAGATACGCTACCAGGAGGGTACACTTGTCGGCACACTTTTGCTACAGCTTACGCGACGTCACTCACTCATAAATGAACACCTCTACATATGTTAGCGGAATTGGTATCTACGTTTGCCAGCCATACCGCCCATCGCTGAAACTCCACATAAACACACCTACAATACAATAGAGGTGGCCGGAATCTGGAAAATAGGGAAGGTAACCTCAAAAGAAGAAGAAAAATGGGTGGATTCTGCACTTGTATCTGAATTGAAAATACCTGATTTTCTACTTCCGCCATTGATTTTCCGGTGCTGCCCAGGACTGCATGGCCGTGGCGGTCGTACGATATGAAGTGTTTCAGGTTGGCATCGCTGCCATAAGTCAGGGGTATGGGTCTGGTATCACAAGTATTTTTGAACCGGATTAGTCTAAGACCCTCAAACGTTTAGTAGTAACAAAATAAACTATATTACGTATGCATATAATGACCTGGTGGCTTTGATGGAAAGATACATGCAGGTTTGCAAAAAATCAATAATCAATTTGGTAGATACTTTCAGATCGTTATATGAGATATATGTACCACTACATGCATGTATATATATATATATATATATATATATATATATATATATATTTATATATAATATATATATATATATATGTGTGTGTGTGTCTGTGTGCGTGTATGTATAAGTCTCAGTAAATGTCAATGTATGTACATACATATATGCTTGTATCATGTGTATATACGTATATACCATGTATGTACATACAGATATATATGTTTCATGTATATATGCAAATACATACATATATACATACACATATACGTATATATATATATATTTATATATACGTATATATAT